GCCGGCGGAGGAAGGCGTTGCTCCGGCGCCTTTAAGCGTCCCCCGCCGCCCGTGACGCATTGGGGGTGAAGCCCGGGGAGGGGGACGTGACCGCCTCTCGCTGCCCGGTCGCTTCTGCACATGGGGCTGGCGGTCGCGATGGCCGCCCGGCCTCCTGCCAAGGCGGCTGAGGTCATCTCCTCGCAGGAAGACGCAGCAAGAACAGGGGAAGACCGGTGTTGACGGGGCTGAGCGCTTTTCGGGGTGCGCGGGGGGGGGACGGGGGGACTGGGGTCTTGTGCGGTCCTTCCGTGCCTGTGAGGGATGCTCGCTGAAGGCCCAGTCTTAGGAGGCAGGATATCTGCACCCGTCGGAGCTCGCAGGAAGACGCAGCAAGAACAGGGGAAGACCGGTGTTGACGGGGCTGAGCGCTTTTCGGGGTGCGCGGGGGGGGGACGGGGGGACTGGGGTCTTGTGCGGTCCTTCCGTGCCTGTGAGGGATGCTCGCTGAAGGCCCAGTCTTAGGAGGCAGGATATCTGCACCCGTCGGAGGTCCTCTGAGAGAACCTGCTCTCGGGGGCTAGCTTTGACGCTACTGAGCAGTAGTTACAAACTGAAGCCTATAATAAACTATATATTATTTTTTTTTAACATTAGTTTCACATTTTGGCTTCTTATGTAAAGTTTTGCCCCGTGGTTCAATTTAATGGAGATCCATTATTTTTCCACAAAGTAACGAGCATGTTTGACAGTGCTCGCTCTCAGCTACAAGACCTACCTTAGGTTTATCCAAAGCAGCAGTGGAGGGACCTATCAGTATAATTAAGAGATCCACTGTGCTAATTTGACAGAAATGGACTGTTAGTTGAGGTGTGGTGTCCATGTAGGTTCTGGTTTCAAGGTGTTTTTTGTTTCTGTGTTGTGGTTTTTTTTTTTAAATTAAATCTGATGCTTTGGAAAGCAGCAGGCAAAAGGGCAGTTCTCCAGGGAGTTTAATGAGCAGTGGTGTATAGTATAGATAAGCCCTGAAGGTT